CGTAGTTGCCCAAGACGGACAGCTCGTCCGATGGGAGAGACATGGGCCGGCGTTTGTAATAGTGGGCTTTCCTATGGCCACGAGGCCGTTTCTCACTCTGAGTTACAATGCCTGCAACAAGGGTTTGATGGACCGGGGTAGGCGGCTAGAAGCTGCCCACATCTGATCATTCCCTTGACTGAAGATGGAACAGCGAGCCGCCAAGAAGAGGCCGAGGGCTTCCATAGCATCTCCGATATAATAAGATGTCAAAATATAGTGCAAAGACTAGAATAGTGACCCCATCATCCGAGAGAAAATTGCGGGAAGCTCCGTTGGAGCCTGCCAAGCACAAATTGATTTGTGACTAGACGATGCTGACATGCTGTAGACACCCTCCGAGTCCACACACTGATGTGGAACTTTGGCATGGACTCCCCAAGTCGGCGATCACAAGTCGACATCAGTCTTATTCGAATGAGAATACGGGTGCATGACACATCCTTGGGACTGGACCAGCGTGCAACAGTGATGGGGAGGGTGTGCAAAGAAGATCTCATCTATCCCTGTTGACTTCTGCGGCCCCGTTCTGCAGGTCTTTCTTCATACGTCCTAGACTGAGGAACCCGGAGAGTGAGCGAGGCCAGGGGCAGAGACAAGAGAAATGAGAATGCTCATTTCGCTTTCATCAGCCTAAGAGACATGAACTGGCGGCATTTTCCAGAAACATAGACCTGCATCCATCGATGCAGGTGGGAAATAATAACTCGGGGGCTTTGGTGCAGCGTACAAGGAGCTTACTGCAGAGACGATCCTTCGTGCAGAGTGATGAGTCCCAGTGCGACCCCGATGGAAAGAAGAGCACCAATAACAAGCCGTGGCTCGTATTCACCAGATGACCCAATGAAGGTACATTTGCCCATCAAGGGCACTGCAAAGACTGGGCTTTGACACCATCCATCGACATCGCCATGCGCTAGGCGTAACGGGCCGGAGCATCGAGGAGGCTATACCACCCCTCCCCCTGGAGATGGGAGGGGAGAGCGGAGGAGTCACCATGTAGAGGACACTAACGGCGTCGGCATGGGACCGTTCTCTTCCTGCCCATCATCACCAGAGCGGCCAAATGACCTCACCTATGAGGAATTACTGAAAGAACGATTCGTTCCCAAGGTCATGGTTCCATGAGCGTCGACCCAGCATTTCCCCCGAGACGCGTGGCTCCATGATAGAATTGCCATGCCGTCTTGGCGGGAAGCAAGGGATGAAGGTGGGAAAAGGCTGTCTCTCAGCATGGGTCGCCATGTAAGTATACGTAGTATGCCTATTTTGCCCCGACCGGTTTTTGACTTGACCGATATGCGAAGCCACCAAGGTCGTAGGCAGGATCACTTTTTAATTTCTGAGCGCGCGTAAGGCCCGTCAAGGAAGAGAAGAAGTGATGGATCAGATTCGAGGAGTAAGCAGACCTCCTTCAGGTTGGGACGCAGATGCCTCTAACCCCATCATCACGCCTAGGCATGCGTGAGATGCTGGTGAGCAAGAGAGCTGTTTAGAAAAAAAAGGAATTACCCGCGAGTTAGACCCAATTCGTCTATTGCACAAACTTTTTCTAGCCAGCCCTGCCAGTCAGAGACCCAGCTGCCAGTAGGAAGCCAGACCGGGGGCCGCTGCTAGGATGAATGTTATGAAGAAGGGGGTACCCTGCATGCTCGCTTGTGTGTGATCTGCACTGGAGCCCACAGAAACACGGGAGATGCTTCCAAATGCTGGCAAGCGGGGTGGGAACCGCCACGAACCCATGTCTCAGAGACACGTTGATTGGGTCCTATAGTTCCAAGGGCGATGTGCGTCTTATTACAGGGACCGTGTCAGCTAATGGTGTGAGATGAAGGTCAAGTGCCCTCAACCATCGAATCCGTCCTGATGGGTGACACGAGTGGTGAAGAAGGTGAGGCAGGAGGTGGAGAGGGCGTGAATTCATCTTCAGAGTAGGTAGGGCAGGTGAAGTAGGTGAGATAGGTGAGGTGAGAAAGCACCTACCCGGGTGAGATTAGGCAAGGCAATATTTTGCCCAAACCGTTGGGAAGACAAGGCACGATACGATGGATGAGGGCGATGGATGCGGATACACGTTACATTGACAGACTGGAAATACACTGGCGGCGGGTGACGAAGGTTATTAGTCAGAAAATAAGGCTGGGCTGCCTGCTCCTGCCTCCAATAGCGGTGGCGACTGCCTGCCACCAACCACGTTGCAGCAATTGAAGCATGCATGCACACAATCTCACCGGGGAAAGAGCAATGCGAGGCACAGAGCCATTGACGTTGCAGGCGAAGGCAATCGGCCTGCGTAGTGTCGTCTTTACGAAGACCCAACCAGCCTACCTACCTTAGGCAGTTGGCTCCAAAGCTACGCGTGGCTGGTATTCTTGTACGTCAGAATACTAAGGCAGGTACTAAGTATTTTGCCCAAGACTACTACGAACTAGCAGCTCTCGGGTCGGACAGCGCTCGGAGGGCAAAGAGACCAAATTTGTCTCACTCCACAAAAAGGATGTTCTGTGCCTGTCAGCGACACGTGTTGCCGTTAACTTCTGCGGAGTGAAGGGGCTCGTGACTCGTGAGTGCCTGAGTGAGGCTGGCTGGCGCTAGGCCGTGGAACACGGTAATAGCCTACGCAGACCCTAATAAGTCATCTCATCCTCTCCTGCATACGTCAGGTCGTTGTCGCATGGCACAGCGGTATGGGCCGTGGCATTGGCAGAGCTGATCCAAATCTCATCCATCATGGATCACCGCGGCTCCGTCCTGCGAGCGGACCAGCATCGCAGCGCTTTGGCACTGACAAGTGACACACGGGGCCACACGCTCCGTCCACCACACGGAGATAGCGACCATGGCGATGGATCATATGGGGCCTCGCCTATAGTAGATGAAAAGCTAATATGAGAGCTTTGGCAACTAGCCGGCCGGTCGGCGGGCAGTCACAACTCCATCCATCCCCGTCACATCAGCCCATTACATGTGTCTCCATCGGTCCCAAGCCCTTGGCGGAAGAATCTTGACCCACGATAGAGCAGATTTGATCCCATCTTCGCAAGCCACATTGTCTCTCTATCCCTAAAAACTTCGCGATGCCGCACGCTAAAGCGCCACAACGGGCACACCGTTGTGAAATCAGTGTCTCATGTGGCCCCCTTGTGATGCCCAAACCATTCCGTCACCTCTATAACTAGCATTGGTGGTTGCAACGGAGATATCAGCATTAGACGCTATCCGCACCACGTATGCCGTCATCCAGGCAGATTGGAGGCGCTCCGGCCATGACAAGGCTACCCTCAGTTCTGTCACCATGCCGTTCCATATGTGGAAGTGTTATACGACCAAAGATGAAGCCATCATCAGTTGGGATTCCCACCAGGATTCCCTTCTGAGCTGGGTCTTTGGCGATCTACTATCCTATACGGGATTGAAAACAGCACTAAAACGCTTTTCCCTTGCCCCCCCTTTAGCGCCAGCAACGGTCCCCAAAAAATGTGAATCCTGAATCCTTGCTCGGAACGTGGCCCTTCCCAAAGGCTACTCGAAATTACTCCGTCAAGCTTCTTCCCATACCCAACGGCTAACAAAGGCTAGGTGAGCGAGTCCGCCCGCTCCCATGTTCTGGATCGCCCTTCTGTGCCTCCCTAGGTCCTTGATCTGCGTCCGGTGACATGCCGCCGTCGGTTTCGCTTTCAGTCCAACAACACCTCCTTCGTAAATTGGACGTCATGCCCAAAACCCGCGATAGAAGGAAGGGCTTTAACCATTCTAGAAACGGAGAAGAAACTGTCACCGCCTCGTTTGTCCCGCGCGGCGTGTGTTAATGCCCCTCCCTTATAATACTCTGTCTGTTATGGCCGTTCGCAACCGCATGATTCATGTGACCTGGCGCCGCTGGGGGGCAGCAGCGTGCATAACATGTCAAGGCTGAGTTCCGAGTCCTGGGCGGGCCGCCGCCTTACATGCCAGGAGGTGTTGCGCGGAAAATCAAATCTCGGGGGGGCAGATCATCCATCGCCCAGCCAGGCCAATCCTCCGACGTATCAACATGCTAAGGGTGGCATAGCGGGCTGATGACCTCTTCTTGCAAGGCCAAGAGCACTCGTTCATTCCCGAGAGCACGGCGCGTAATGTCACTGGAGGTAACCTCTGACTGAATGCCAAACCAAACAGGGCAACTTAGTCGGTGTAGAGAGAGGGTACCCATAGCAGGCAGGGTGAGATCAGAGACCAGCATTCCCTAGATCATCGTCCGTGACAGGGAGCTGCGCCTCCCCCAGTCCCAAGGCACACAGGCACACACACTTTGGGTCCTTTCTATCGACGGTCAATTTTCCGAGCTTGGTCAACTTCCTGAGGATCATCACGTCACGCATCTCTGATGAGACGAATACTCAGGCGCGGACTTGTTTCACTGATGACGATGAGAGGATTGGTGGACGTTTTGTTTGTTTGAACAACTTTGTAATTTTCTTCCGCTGAATTCTTCAAGTAAAGGGGGTCTTGATCCCCTATGGATGCCATGAGGCACTCCATCCTCCCCTCCCAAACCAACTAAATATCTATACATTATCATAGAATTTTCATCCCGAAAATCAAACGCATTCATCGCCATTCCGTCTCAGTAAAGATTCTAAGGCTTTCCCCGCCCTAGCCAAAAACGCCGTTTGAGAATGCTGCCAACCAAAATGTCGCCTGGGACCCAAAAACAAGTGCTGAAATATAAAACATGAGAAGAAAAAGAAAAAGTCAATAAACCCTTGCGCCTCTTTTGAATGCATTTGCCAGTCGCACGTTCCCTCAGGGAAGCAACGCCGTCGTTCCCAAAGTAATGAGAAGCTGTGTGAAGTCCAGACTCCCAAAGCCCTCGTCCAAAATATGTCCAGATTGTAAGGGATATCATTATATGCGCTTCATCTCATCAGCCACATCGAGTGCTTTTCGTGATCAGTCTTTTCCGCCTGGAGAGCCGGCCCTTATAATACGGATCCGTTGGCGTTGACCTGCACGCTGTGGCAACCCCTCTCGTGACGCTTCATGTTGCTTCGGACACTGAAGGCCTTTCCACACCCAGCTTGCGAGCACTTGAAGGGCTTCTCGCCAGTGTGAGAGTGGCTGTGAATGCGGAGACTGCTGGGGCGACTGAATGCCTTGTTGCAGGTGGGGCAGATGTAGCGATCCTGGCTTTGCGGGAAGAAGTGGCCAGGGGCGGGTTGTAAATAGTGGTGGTGCTGCCATGAGATGGCACCAGAAGAGGGGGCTACTGCCATGGGGACAGCCAGAGGCGGGAATGCCTGAGGAAGTGGGCGCTGCTGAGAGACACCAGGAACCTGTGCGTGAGAAGCAGGCGTTGAGGGAGGAAAGTAGCTGCCAGAAGTACCGGTTGGAGTCGTGGCGGCTGAGTGCTGAGAGTAAGACTGAGCATGGCGAGGGGGATAGGCCATGTGGTGGTGGCGGTGGTGGTCTGCCTCTAGTGGTGGAGTAGTTTCTTGGTAGTAAGGCTGGTGTGACATATGGCTGATGGGCTTGCTTGAAGGCGAAGGGTGATCCATGGAGGCATCGGTGCTCATGGGTGGTGAAGGTGGGAATGCCCTTTGGTGCTGCTGTACAGAGTTCCCATAGCTGGATCCAGGTCGGCTCTCCATCTTGAGAGCTGAGGCACGGCTTGACATGGGATCTATGATTGAAGTCTGAGTTAGCAATGTGACGTCTTTCTTTAGATTCACTGCGCTGTTGGACCCACATTCAGATCGAGGAGAGAAAGTCGGCGAGGCTTCGCTTGTGGGTGATCCTGAATCTGCCAAGTCCAAAAGGTTGGAGATGGACGGCAGAGTGCATTTTGAGGACTCCATTGGGGGCGATGGTGGCGATCTAGTGTATGTTTGGTGAGCAGGATAATGATGCTGAGCTATCATTGTGGCCATCGCGTCTTGTGGATTTTTTATTCTCTAAGTTCAGGTGGTGATTGCTGGTATAGAGAGGCGGTGGTGAGTGAGTGAGAGCGAGCAAGGTCCGAGTCGGCCGTGTTTGTTGCGAGGTGCGTGAGCAAAGGGTCGAATGAGAGAGAAGGGGCGTCGAGAGCGAAGAGGCCTCGGAGACGCAAGGCAACCTGACTTTGAGGACTGTCGGGAGAGCGATGAGATGGATAGACAGATGGCAGTTCCAGATGCTTGGGATCTAGCTCGGGGGCGGCGCCAAGTTTAAGTATGAGGGACGATGCCCAGCGGTATGGTAGGGTACCTCTTTACCTGCCTGGTGGTGGCCCTGGTGGATGCGACGGAGCGGGTGGTGCGCATCCACAAGCTTACCCATAATTGCCTACGAGTACATCAGATCTGTAATCCCACGCCATGATCCCTGGAAAGCGCCGCTGTCACCGGAGGCGGGTGGGGCCCAGTACTTTGCACTTTGACTTTTGACAGAACCGGGGGTGGGAAGATACATGAGACCTCGCCTTGCACAGACAACTCACAGGGAACAGCTCTCTCGTACGAAAGCAGCACCGAGGGGTGGAGGGCGTGGCAGGGCTGGATATGCTGGACAGCCTATGGCGGCCAGCTCATACCCGCGGAGCAAGCAGCAAGGCAAATCATTCCCCAACCGCGGTGTGAGGGGGTTACATTACCCAGCTGTCGGCCACCTACAATCATGATGAATTGGCGTCGATGTGCCTGCCTGTCTGCCACCCCTTCCCAGCCTTGAGGCCATACCAGTCGCCAAAGGCCAAGACCTTAGGGCAGAGCGATGAGGTGCTCGGGTGCTTGGAAAGGGAAACAAATGCGCCCATGCTATAGTATCGTACATACAGGAATAACGGGCAATGTGCCGCTGCTCTGCGAAAGACGGACGGGGTACAGGCCTCCGCGCATTACCATCATCATACTAGCCAAATCACCAGTTGCCCATCATCATCATCCGCCCGCTGTAGCAGGCATTGGCAGGTACCTCGAGTCCTGCCCGCTTGTAGGGAAGGAAGCGCACGCGTACCGCCCAAATCGGCAATAGGGCGTTAGATACACCCTCCCCCTGCGATGCCCACTGCAGCGCACCTACCCTCTATTGCGGGTCCCGGTACTGCTCTCTGATCCTTGGTGATTCATGGGCAGAACAGGGGCGTGTGGAACGTGGGACGCGTGAGGGGTGCCTTGCCTTGCCATGCCAGGCCAGGAAGGGAGGGAGGCGTGTTCCAGAAGAAAGGGTGTAGGCTAGTGTTACACCACTGCATCTCTAGCAGAACTCCTCCCAGCCTGCCGTTCATCAGGGATTATCGCCATGGATCACCTGCGATAGCGCAGCCCGTTCAATCCCGGACGGGGTTGATGAGGAGGGATATTTTAGCACGCAACGCATGCGCAGGCCTGTCCACGGGCAAAATAAAATAAAGAGAGGACAATAATAGGTAGCCATCGTCATGTCATCATAATGGGGATAATTATCACGGCGATGACAGGCCGGGAGACCGTGTCGATTCAGGCGACATACATAGTCGAGCCAAGTTGCCATCGCACTAACAAATTCTGCCGTGCGCCTCAATACGATAGATGGCTCTGAAGAGACTTTGTATTGTGCATTAGCACAGTATGCATCATGTAATAGTGTGATGAGGAGCAGAGACCTGTCAGTTGGTTGTACTGCATTGTGTTGCATTCAAGATCATAAGGCTGCTTGGCGACTTGACGTGAACTGCGCACACAAGCATGGCGAAGCACAAGGTATAGACAGCAGGCACGCATAAAGGTGCGAGCATAAAGTCATTTCCAGCTAAATTAATGAGGCGATCAAGGCTCCCACGGGCCCTGACTAAATCGATATTTTTGGGCGATTTTGGTGTTCTCTTTTAAGAGGTCAGAGCGAGCGGTGGCTTCCCGCCCGCGATCAGACCAGATGAGTGCCTGTTCTGTATTGGTGAGTCCCACAATGCCGTGGGCAATCCGTCTGTGCTTCTTCAAAATGACGTCCCAATTTCATGCGCCCGCGCACGTTACCACATGGCATTGAGCCTGTGGGAGGCCATATCATGCTCTTTGGGGAGAATAGGTACTAAAGTTAGAGGCTTGAGATTGGGTGATTATGGGATGGGATCGAGCAAGTGTCAGATTGTGCAGCGGGTGGCGGGCATGACGGCAGCCATCTTGTGTCAATCTCAAACATCGGTCATTTCGCCCATCACGATTGACTCATCACTTGGTTTATCCTCGCCTCGTGTTCAAGGGCGCCATGGGCACGCCTAGTTCTGTTTGTCGAGCGGGAATTTTCAGCCCATAGTAGGACGTACGGATATTAATACCAAGCTGCCTGTGCACATCCGTCCACACCGCGAAAGCTAGACCTCGATCCTTCAACTTTCCCAGCGCCCGCGCCCCACATCGGCATTTCTAGCATGTGGCAACTAAACAATAGCAGTGATAGTGCGAGTTGTGATCGGGCTCTTCGTATTTCCCGAGAAACAGAGCTCGGGTCTGTCACGATACATTGCAGAGAGGAACAAGAAGAGCGTATTGCAGCCATACTATACTTAGATAGGGCATGTTGATGTGCAACATTTACGACAGGTTTATTTACAGTGCGGTTAGTACAAGTATGTCACAATCTGTCACACAAGCTTCTGTCTATACGTACCTCACACTCCCCCCTTCCCGCTTCGCCGACGTTGGTGTTTTTTTTTGCTTCTTTCACGAACGCAGATCGACGGACGGGGAACTGTCACAATTTGCGGGCAAAGCGTCGCTTAACGAGGGAGCCCAGGCCGCACACCGAATGAGGGAGGTAACACACCGGTCAGCTCGTCGATGAACCACCTCATTGGAGGAATTATTCGAATCGGCATGGATCCTTGATTGTGTTTGATTGTCAGCGTAGGGTAGGCAGATGCATGGGAAGGCTAAGGATGTTGGAGTGTTTTCCCTCTGACAGGCCTCTGATGGGAAGTTCCGCATGCTGGAGGCCCAGAAGCGGAGTTGCGGACCTGTGCTGGCCGGCCTCTTTCGCTTGCAGATTCTCTTGCGCTGGTGTGCCATGGGTCGAGGTTGTCGGTGGTGGTAAGCGAAGGCCGCTGGTGCTGCGCCGGTGTCGCGGCATCTTGAACCGGCGCGTGGTTCCCGACACTCCCCTCTCCCTCCCCTCACTCCCCCTGCACTCCCCAAGTTCTCTCCCCCTTCTTTCTCGGCTGCGAGGTTTTGCCGCACCTGCCCTCAGGCTGCAAGACAGGCAGCGGCGTTTCATTTATTAGTGCGATGATCGCCCTCGCTGGCGGCGCGCAGCGTTAGGGAGGGTCCACCACAATTAGCAAAAAGAAAGGGGGGGTTGGCCGTCACGACAATCCGTTGCTGTTGAATTGGTCCACACCCCGATGTCGAGTTGGACGAGCAAGATCAAGTGTTACTCTGCACGTAGCCTGGTAATGGCCAGCCGACGATGGCCACTCACCGGGCCAGCAAGGATGCGAGATCTCATACATACTCCAGGTCTTGAAAGAATCGCTTGCCTAATTCTCCTCAAGCTGTTGTGACACATGTTGATTGCCAGACATGGCCATCAGTCGCTCTGGAAAGCAAGCGGTTCTTTGCTTCTCTTCTTACTTCTTTTTCCCCTCGCCCATATTATCCCGCAGATCTAGTCGGACGCACCACACTAAGCCGGATAGGCTCTCTCATCTGGATGAATGGCTGTTGATAACGGGTTTAACGCCTGTGACCCTGCACCACTATCCTTGATAGGTCGATCAGCACTTGTCGTCTGCCTTAGTTACCCTCGGTCATCCATGCATGCAGCAGCGCGAAGCGAGCTGAATGGAAAGAAGAAACAAACGGCTGCGGCCGCCATCAGAGCGATCAGCGGTCGCCTTCCTGCCCGTTACCTCTCTTTAATTTCTTTTGTATGTTTTGTCGACGGATGCGGATAGATCATGTCGGGCATTTTAAAAGATGGCTTCCACGATGCTAAAATATGGGAATGGCTGCCGTATGGTCCTTCAATGTTTCAGAAGCCCCGCGACTAACCCGTACTATTGAGATGCACCATTCCAGGTAGGTACTTTGTACCTTGGTTCAGGGCGATTCGCAAAATCTCGCCTGGCAAAAAGACAATAGCCATTCCACGTAGAAATGGCATAGCTCAGGGAGTTGCGGGATAGATCGCGACACTTTGGGGCTGAGTAATGTTGCTAGGCGATGCATAATGGCCAAGGCCATCCGGTCGACCAATACTAGGAGGCGAGATGCACAACTACTAATGTAGAGTGCAAAGGGCCCAGGACGTAAGGAAGGGGGGCCGGAGGCGATGATTTGAGGCTAGAGAAGCCTGAGATGAGATCAGGGTACTCGCATCGTGGCACAAACAAGGCCGATAGAGTCGATTCGGGGGATGGAGGTGCTGTCGTCCTGCCGCTGACCACCAACCGAACCCAACAGCCAGACCCACTCGTTGATGCACCATGTTGGAAGATCAGGCCACTTCTGCCCCCCATGCCTGAGAATGATGCCGCTATTTGCAGCTTGCCGAGGCCGAGACGATCTGGGGCGTTGGAAGTGGGGCAGAAATCGTACGTTATTCTAGATAGGCCCGGATCAGACTTCCCACCCGGGCCTAGTAGATGCACTGGAAGGGGTGGGCTGGGGCGATCAGCACAGGGATCCTCCCGTTCGCTTGGCATAGATTTGCTTTTGTGTGTGCCCCAATCCAGCAAGAAGCCTTGGATACCTACACGATGCGATCCTCTGCCCTGTGCCGCCTTGACACGCTGCGCACGCCGAAAAGCAGGCCCGCATGCTGCAGAGACGATGCGCAAATGTCGGGGAAGAGAGGAGTGCGCAAGCGAAGGGGGGTCTCATTTCAGGGAAAACGACACATTTCCTTTCTTTTTTTCCCTTTTCTTGCTTTGCTGACGACCATGGTCAGTCAAGAGGTACAACGCCTAGCTGTTAGC